TCGTGTAGGATCAACTCCATGGAGACTTCGATTGGTCAATCATATATGTTCCTTCCGCTAGTGCCCTTTGGACGACAGTTCGTGATACCTACTCAGATGTAGGGAATTTCAGCCAACTTTATTAGGTATTTAAAAAAATATGTGAGGCAAAATAAGGATCGAGGACTGTGATCCAGTACTACAATGGTTTAGTTGTATTATGGATTGATTGCGACCTGTATTATGACTACACTTGAGAATCTCCGACCGATCTATCTTTCTTCCTGAAAATTGTCTAATTTCTGGTCGGCCTCAACAACTCCCTACAACTCTGAATCAAACATAGTACAACCAACTTCTACCCATAACAACCTGGAATCCTCCAATTCTCTTAAAATTCAAATGGAGCACTTAATCAAGCTGCTTAGTTCCAACTAGCTCTCTTCCCTCTCACATTCGTCAAGGTACCATTCCTATGACACTCACTTCTTTTGCCCCTGAATTGTATCCGTTGATGTTACACTTTCATTTGGGTTATCCTAGTTTCTAGATTCTAAAATGATTGTGTCCGTTGATGTTTAGTAATAAAAATCATTCTAATTTCAAATGCGAAACCTGTCAGTTATCTAAGCATCGCGTTCTTCATCTACCCCACAATTACACAACTTACGCTTCTTTCTCTCTTATTCACAATGACTTATGGGGATCCTCTCGCACTCGTCGCCACAACAATAAATCGTAGTTTCTTACTTTGATTATTGCTACACTCGGATGACATGTATCTATATTTTAAAAGAGAAATTGGAAGTTGTTGTCACTTTCAAAAACTTCCACACTTTCATTTTGACCAAATTCAAAATTTCTATTCAAGTCATTCAGACTGATAATGGTCGTGAAATTTTTAACTCTATATTAGGAGAATTTTTGGTAACTAAAGACATCCTCCATCATAGCTCATATACTGACACTCTTCAACAAAATGGGATAGCCGAGAGAAAAATCTGACATCTCCTTGATGTTACTTGCTCTATCATGTTTCACTCTAATGTCCCAAAACGTTTTTAAAATGATGCTACTCTTACATACATGTATCTCATCAATAGATTTCCCTAAAAAATTCACAAATTCAACCCTTTAACTGTGTTGAGATCGTGCTTTCCTAATAATCTTTTCTTCATTTTAAATCTCAAAATTTTTGGGTGCACAACTTTGTTCGTAACACAGCCCCAACTCAGAGTAAACTTATAACTAGGTCCATAAAATGTGTTTTTCTCAGATACTTTGCCACTCAAAAGGGGTATCGATGCCTTGAACCTACGAAAAATAAAGTTTTTATGAATCCTAATGTTTCTTTTTTTCAAAGTGTTCCCTACTTTCTAACTCGGTCTCTAATGAGGGGGAGCTAGAGTTCTTGGATACTATTCCTTACTCTACCTTTGTGGATGTTCCTCTCACATCACCTGTTATGGAGGAACCCCCTGTTCTCTTAGCTCCACCCACTTCTCCTACAACTAAGGAGCCCTCTGTCCCTTTGGTTCCACCAGTGCATCCTTCCACTCTCTGTGTCTACACTTGGCGCACTTGTTCCGATGCACCTACTATGGTGCTCACTAACCCCTTGCTGGACCGTGAATCGCCCTCGGACGACATTCCAACACTGCTACTAATCCAAATGAGGACGTCAGTTCCTCTAGTAAGGTACACAATTAGACATGCTCTCTCTATCCCGTGAAAAACTATATTTTTTTTCACAGATTATCACCAACCTACAGAGCATTTGCTAAGACCTTGACCAATCGTTAACTTCCATCTACTATTAAGGTTGTCTTAGCAAACCTAACTTAGAAAGCTACCGTTATAGAGGAGATGAATGCCCTTCAACGGAACCATACTTGGGTCATTGTTGATTTTCCTCGGGGCATGAAAGCAGTGAGATGCCGATGGATTTTTAGCATCAAGTTTAAATCTAATGTATCATTTGAATCACAAGACATAGTGGTCGGCAAAGGGTATTCACAGACCTACAGAGTTGACTATTAGGAGACATTTGCTATAATTGCTAAATTAAACACCATTAAGGTCTTTTTTTCCCTTGCAGTGAATATAGATCGACTCTTATTCCAGCTTGTTGTCAAGAATGCGTTCCTAAGTGACGATCTTACAGAAGAGATGTACATGGCTCTTCTTCCAGTCTTTGACTCCACCGCCTCCTAAGTGCAAGTATGTAGGCTGCGAAATTCCCTCTATGGATTGAAGCAATCACTATGAACATGGTTCAAAAAGTTCACAAAAGTGGTGGTAGGCCATGGATTCGCTCAGACTCAATCATACCGCACTCTCTTCTTCCAGCATCCCTCCAGCGACCAGGTAGCTACCCTTATCGTTTATGTTGACAATATTGTTCTCAAAGATAATGATCTACCAACATTAGAGTCTTTGAAAGACATTTTTGTTGCTTCCTTTGAAATGAAAGACTTGAGATTTCTCCGGTACTTCTGAGGCATGAAAGTTACTCAGTAATCTCAGAGTATTTTCCTGTCTAAGCGGAAATATTTGATTGACTTTTTGAACAATTTTTTCCTATCCACGAGTGGCTGTCCTGATGAATTCTAATGAAAAATTTCTTGATATTCCCAATATAGTTCCTGTAAACAATACTTATTACCAACACCTTTTGGGGAAACTCATCTACCTTGCCCATACATGTCGCGATATTTGCCACGTTGTTGGGATAGTTAATCAATTCATGCATGATCCCTATAAGCATCATCTCTAAGCTGTCCACCAGATTCTCCACTATTTAAAAGACAGACCAAACTCAAGTTTGTTTTATTCCCACAACACCTTTTGTTCTATTGCAGTTTACACAAATTGGGTCGAGTCCGTCCATGATCGCGATCTACCTCGGGGTATTACTTATTTGTGTGGGGAAACCTAGTCATGTGGAAAATCAAGAAGTAGTCTTTAGTTGCTAGGAGCAGTACATAAGCCGAATTTTGGTCAATGTCCCTGAGAATTTGTGAAGCTCTCTAGTTATGCATCAGCTCCCCACGAACTAGGTATTACAGTCTCCGCTCCCCTGTTGTTGTTCTGTGATAACATGACAACCATTAGCACTGCTCACAACCCTAGTCCAGCATTATCGTACCAAACATGTTGAGATTGACCGACACTTGATTAAGGAAAAGCTCGAGTCCAACGAAATTTGTTTTCCGTTTGTGTCATCTTGCAGCCAACTGACATATATTCTCACGAAGAACTTTCCTCCGCCGTTGTTTGATAATTTCAAATCTAAGTTGAACATAATTGATATCTATGCTTCAACTTGAGGGGGTATTAGAATATTAATTAATTTCTGTTTATTTTGAGTTATTAGCTTGGATTCTTTATTATTCTTTTTTTTTCTATTATATCCTCTTTTTATTTCTTTCCTTACTAATAGATCCTGTAATGGTATCAGTAAGATTCATTTGTTTCTATTCTAACACTAACTAAATTGATTTTTTATCAAGAAATAATTGAAATTAAGACACGTTCAAGTAGATTTTGGCAAGTTTTAGATAATATTGTAAAAGTTATTGTCTTTTCGTCAACAAAGCCTTGGACTTTAGAAGAGCATTGAAGGCAAGATTTTGTTCAAAATATTATTGTATTTGCATTTATCAAAATAATATGGAGTTTCAACAATTTTCTTCTTTTCCGATGATGATATATAAATTTGGATTAATGCCTTCCCTATTCCCTAGAAAGAAAACTAGCTACATCTGCATCCGTATACAAAATTACATTAGCAGTAAGGAGCAAAACTTTGGAGGAAATTTTATCTAGCGCCAGGAGTTTGATTTGAAGAACTTGTGGTTCTCAAAGTACTAAATAGAGAAACCCTTCTGTTGTTAATGAATTGATAGCCCTCACAAATTTTTTTTCCCCTTTTACCTCTCCTTGAAGGAGAATCTGTTGAAGAAGAGGTTCAAAATGCCTTGGACACTGAGTGGGTGTTGAGAAGGATTTTTTAAGGCAAAAGTTGAATCGAGTCTTGCAAGGGATACCATTTTCTTACATGAGACTAGATCTTTAGGATGGAGGAATGCCTTTCCTACATGATCTTTAACAAGTAGATTTGAGAGATTGAGCAGATTCCTGATTGTGAGGGGAGAGAGGGCTTGGCAGCCAGGTAGAAAAACGGGATGAGAAGTAAGATGCTTTAGGTGAAAAACTAAACTTTATTAGGCAAGTCTGTGCTATCCGATCAAGTAGGACTAACTTAGCCGAATAAACTTAGACAAGTGACCAAATTAATTAATATGCATTATGTTCCCGCCTCTCGGTGTTTTTCTCTGTTTTATTGTCATCTTCACATTGAATGGTAGTTGCTTTGTAGTTGCAGTTCTGCAATGTTCCTTTTTTCTAAAGTACGTAATTTTCTAGCTCATTCAAAGTTTCACTATTATTACCTTTTAATGATGAATGGTTGTCTTTTAGTTTCCTCTTATTTCAAAATGTGGGAAGATTGCACAAATAATTGAAGGTTCAAAAGATTCAAAAGATGACTTGCATACATTATTGGAGGGATGTCCAGGAGGATCTGAAGGATTTTTGATTGCAGCAAAATTTTGCTATGAGAATAAAGTGGAGCTGAAGCCAGAAGACATTCTGATGGCACATTTGGTTGCTGATTTTCTTGAAATGACAGAGGAATATAGGGAAGATAACTTGTTAATGCAGGCAGAAAATTTCATTCACAAAGTAATTCTTCGGAGCTGGAATGATTGCATATCAACGCTTCAGAACTCTCAGAATTTTATTTTAGAAGCTGAAAAACTTCCAATTGTGCAGAAGTGTCTTAATGCCGCAGCACTAATGGCATGTCAGGATCCTAGTTTTGTCCGAAAGTCTACAATGTATGGAAACTTACAGAGTCCTGGTGGAAGTATACTATGGAATGGAATAAACACTGGAGTTAGAATCAACAACACGTTATCTGATTGGTGGTTTGAAGATGTTTCATCTCTCTCTTTTCCAATATTTAAAAAATTTATTGAAACAATTAACATCCATGGCATAAGATCATTAAATTTAGCTGGTGCACTGATGTTCTATGCTAGGAAGCATTTGCATGGACTTGATCGGTGGCAGAATCGGCAAGGAGGAGGAAGAATTAGAACTTTGTCCATTGATTTAGCAGCAATTGATCAAAAAATTTTAATTGAAAGCATTGTAAACCTCCTTCCTGAAAATAAAGGGAAGTCTTACTGCCGCTTCTTACTAGGACTTTTACGTCTTTCGATAATGCTAGATGTTGACAGGTCATTCAAGGAATTGTTGGAGAGGAGAATAGGGATGCAGCTTGAACTGGTTACACTGGATGGGCTCTTGATTCCCAATTTCTCAGGGTCTGATAATTTATATGATACAGACTGTGTTGAGCGTATTATTAGGCATTTTTTGTCATTCCATTCACTGAAAATTGCTCCCTTATCAGCATCATCATCATATCCTGCGATTCCACAGTCCTCTAGTATTTTAAGCAAGGCAACAAAATTAATTGATGATTATCTTGCTGAGGTTGCCCCTGATGCTAACTTGAAGCCTCAAAAAATGCAATCCCTTCTGGAGGTTTTCCCAGAGTACTTCCGAAAATTGGATGATGGAATTTATAGAGCACTCGATATCTATTTAAAGGTTTGCGTCTCTTTAAGGAATCATTATTATCTTTCATTGGATACTTATTGTACATGAACTACTAATATATCTAATACCAAATCATAGAATGGTTTTTAGTTGCTTGAGAAATATTTAATCTGAAAGAAATGTTTTTAATCTGAGTCTTGGTAATTAATTTGTTAATACTGAGTCAAAGTTTATAGCAGATGGAGGCGCAATGATATGACATTTTTTTGAGTGATAATTTATCTTCATTAGTCCTTAATCCACATGGAAAGCCAATAATATAAAGCTAGCAATCAATAGTGCAATTATATTAACTCATTAAGATAGATTTAATGTCAGTGAGACATTTAGTGCAGTGACACACAAGTCCTCTAATATTAATGTTCATGTCGAAGCTGCTGCACAAATAGTAAATGGGGGTTAATTTGGAGGTGTTTTTTTTCTGTTTTATTTCTCTCATTATAGTTCCACTAGAGTTATAGTATTTTGATTTGAATGTTGAAGTAAAGGTTAATAGATGTTTTTTTTTTGTTTTATTTATTTCATTATATATATTAGTCACGCGACAATAGTTATGTGCCACGCTATATCATTTCAAATTATATTCATCTCAAGAATAAAACTAATAGGAGATATCTCTATTTCAATAATAGGACCATGCTTGATTTTTGTCACCATAATAGCCTCAATTATAATCTGAGGTTCATGCTCAACACTAAACTCAATTATTATCACTTGATTATAATGATCGTCATCAAGCTCATCTGTTGATCTTAGATCAACACAATAGTCAAATTAATGCGGGGATTAGATTTTTGAATTGGTGAAGTGACACAACTGCCTAAGATTCTAGAATTGATATGGATTTCTAAATCCTTGGATTTCAAAAAATTAGTGTACATTATGATTTGTCATTATCTTGATACAATTTTGGGCAGAATAAAATCATCGTATACATACACACACTCATTTGATTTACTTATTTATGTATACTATGATTGATTAGAATAAGATGATTGGGTACGGTCACATGTATAAATATTATTATTTATAAAAGATAATTTATGTAACCATAAGGTCATGATGTTTGAAATTATTGACATAATCACTATTGTAACATAACCCGTATTATTCATGAGAATCATTGTAATATAAACTCATGATATCTATCATTGTTGATGAGAAAATAATTACTTCAGAAGATGATGTTAATTCATATCTCGATAATTCTTTTTTAGGGCAATTAAATACAAACCACCCAGAACTTGCAATTTATAAATCAACCACCCTCTTTCATCCATTTTTCAAATTCTCACCCAAATATTAAAATTAATGGTAAAATCCCAACCCTTAATTTTGATTTTTATGAAATTCTTAATAATTTGATCGTGGCATGAGTAAATACATCGGTTCGGTAGTTCAAAAAAATCACCTGGTTGGTTCATTTGCAAATATCAATGTTTTGGGTGGTTTGTATTTAAATTTTTATGTGATTGATCAAGTTTATAATAGTTTATATACCTTAATTACGTGTTTTGTTCGTAGTTTTTGCTACATTATTGGCATAATCTTTCATCTTTATTAGACATGCATTTTTGGTAATGGTCTTATAGTAATGCAGGAAGGAATCCATAAGGTTTGGGTTTGGTTTTTTGTTTTAAAAGAACAAGCAACAAAAGTAAATGTGTTTATTGTAATTACAGACTTTGGAACTTCATATTAGAATGGATTAGTTGGGATGTGTAGATCTCTCTTGATCTGTGTTAATCTAAGCAACTTATTGTTTATGTTGATTGGATATCTTTACCCTCCAATTAACTTTGTAACTGTATAAAAATGTTGTTACTAATTCTGACCATCTAATTCATTTAGGATGGCCGCCTGAATTCATTATTTGAAAACTAGAATGGTTTTCAAATAGTTTGGTATAATTAACTATGACCTTCCAAAATAGATAGCCAAAATTGTTACCTTTATTTTGTGCAATAGCTTTCATGCTTGGCTACAGGATTTGCATGCCCTACATTGGGGCTCTGTATTTGTCATTCACTATTAATTGTAGGTGATTTTCTAGTATCCAAAGCTAGATTAATCTAGGACCTATTTTGCTCATATATAAAGTTTGTGCCATACTAAATGATTTACTCGAATATTAAATTGAAATGATTCACTCATTTTCAGTCTTTCTTTCATTCTCTTTCTACGATGTCTCTTCCTCACACTCCCTCCCTCTCTTTTTTTCTTCCCTCTCAGATAATGGCACAATATCATACATGAATCACTTGATGCGATTGATTCCAAGCTTCTTATGTAAATTCTTGAAAATGTTCTAGGTATTGTCTTAATATTCCCGTATTTCTATTGGGTTGGTGGCTATATACATTTATGTATGGGAACTTAGTTATAAGAGAATCACACGGCAATTTTAGAGGGGTTGAGAATGAATTGAGAATATAACTTTTTATTATTAAAATCACATTTGAATAAATTGATGGTGCTCTGCTTTAGGAACTTATAAAGAGGACAACTTTTTATTATTTCCTTAATTATCTTTCTTTTGTTATGCCTCTTAAGTTATTTTTCTTACTTTCATGTGAGAAATGTGATTTCTTTTTTCTTTATTAGTGAGGGTGTGCTCTAATTTTAGGAAACTCTAGTAAATTTTCTTTTATTGCACATTATGTTTGTGACTTCTTTATTGGAATACCTGATTCTCTCTACTATCCCGCAGATGTAAGCCTATTTAAGTTGAATTAAATAAAATTTAGAATTAATTTTTGTAGTGTTTGATCTCTTTTGTTCTTATTTAACGGCCCAGCATTGGGTTGACGCTGCCTTAACATTAAGTTAGGCTTGTACTTTTTCCTAACACCTCCCTCTATGCATCACATCTAATTATTTCATCAAATTGATTTTAATGATGATACATTCAAATATGAGAAATGAGATTTTAACTAAAAGGATACATGAAAAATTATAGCTGATTTTGCAAAAGAAAAATATTGGTCTAAATAACTCATTTGGATTGTCTGTATAATTTATTAAGTTCTAAACTAAGGCAGCCGTTTATCTTCAGCATGGTATACAGAGATGAATTGGAACATTGTACAGTGAAAAGTTCTTTAACATTCTTGTGTTTTTTAATTAATGTCACATAATGCTTAAATCCTCTTCAAAAATTAAGGATTGCTATGAACCCCATTGCAGGCTGTTAAGACAAATGATAGTTAGGGCCGCTGAAACTGGTTGAATTCCTTGTTCAATGCTGTATATGTGCCTTTTTTTTTTTTTTTGCTTCTGCCTTCCTTGAACTAGGATGATAATTAAAAAGAAATAATATTGTTAATAATTATGTCATCTTAAATTTCTTTTGCAGGGGCACCCGCAGCTTCAAGAAAAAGAGAAAGAAAAGCTCTGCCAAGCCATAAATTTTGGGAAGCTTTCAACCGATGCATGCATCCATGCATCGCAGAATGAGAGCCTTCCACTTAGGGCCGTCCTCCAGGTCCTGTTTTTTGAGCAACAACAACTCCGTTCCACCCTTTCCAAATTAAATCTCATTACAGAAAATGAAAATAATGTGGCCTCAAATGTAAATGAAATTTTTGAAGAGTTTACAGAAAGAGAAGGCTGGGTTTCTGTTGCAAGGGAGAACCAATACCTGAGAGTAGACATGGAACGCATACAATCTAAGGTCAGAGAGCTGGAAAATCAGTTTATGATCATTAAGAAAGATATGAGGAAGTTCTCCAGACGCAGCATATCTAGATAACTCGTTCTAAGCCTTTAAATGCATATAGAGACAACAAATCAGAAAGCAAATTCGCTGGAAGTTTGGGTCAGCCTCAGAACATCATCAGACATCTAATGCCTTTCATGATTATACAGATTATTAAGCTCTGATGGAAGCATTTAAGGCAACCTCTCAGTTTTGAAAAGGTAGATTGTTTAAATTCTAGTAAAATATGGAACTCTTTGAAGGCCAGGTGTTTAGTTTTATCAGATTGTGGAAATGTTTCAGTTTTTCACAGATTTTGGAATCACTAAGAAGTGCCAGTCTTGGTCTAGATACTGGAATCGAAAGGTATGGATATACTTGGATAGAGTTAAGTGCCAAAATAAATAGTCCCATGCATATTTACATGAGGTCATTTTAGTCTCAGTCTATAAAATGTCAAGGTTGTCCCCGGACTTTATTAATATGGGCTAAAATAGTGACAGAGGTCTGTTTTAGCCCACATTAAAAGAGTCGATGGACTCAAATGGCCTCCCGACAAACACTTTTCTCCCGGTTGATTAAACTAGAAATGTTTGGATGTGATGGATAGCAGTAGCAGTCATTCTTGTAGATCATAATCTCTTTTTCTGATGAGATAACAGTAGCAGTAGCCTTTTATAAACTTGAAGTATGTGTTTGTGACAGTTACAAAATTCATGCTCAGGCCATCCCATGTATGGTTTGGAATTGGCAAGTGTTAGTATAAGCTAACATGTTCTCTTTTTATTTATTTTGGGGAGGCATTTACATACACACCATCCAATTCCTATATATTTGCATTTCTAATACCTGAACTTTACTTTTTATATTTATACAACCCAAATCTTTCATATCACATTAAAAATAACACTATTTTAAAATTTTTATATTGAAATATGCCTTTTCATACATGGGCATGATGACATGTATTTAAAAATTGAACTTTAGGTGTTAGGTATGTAATTACATATGATTTGAGTGGTAATGTATGTAAATTTGCTTTTTTTTTTTCTTTTTAAAAATAAAATCATTAATAATGGAGATATTTATGCCATTTTATTTTTTTGAAAATTTTCATGAATATTGGCAATATACAAGACATTCTACCATCAATCTTGTTGGGTTTTAGTATATACTGATTTATTAATGTTAGTGATAGGAATGAGATAATTTTAATATAGATAAAGGCAAACAAAATATTTTACCTCACCAACACAAAACGATACAATTCAAATATATAAAAGATAAACACCTATAATTTGAGAGGTTGGCGATCTCTTTCAACTCTTAACTTTAGATTCAAGACAATAATTAGGCACATAATGTATGACTCTAAACACATTAATCCCTATTTATATTGCACAATAATAACTAGTCTTATGCCTAAAATAAGTCTTCAAATTGTTTTGGCCTGCTTAGCATCAACTCAGCGGAGCAGGGGGAAACTCTGTCGTAGAGGAAACTTCTGTTGGATCAAGTTGTATGACTCCCACTCATAAACTAACTTGTGTCTAACTCTCATCGTCAGCACGATTGAAATAAATGATTAGTTGTTGACATTGCTTGGGGATCGCACCTAGCTCATAACCTGAAGCATCAGTCTTCACAATTAATGATTGGCTGAAATAAAGTAACATCAGTATTGGTACACTCGTCATGACATTCTTTAACTTCTCAAAAGCTGGAGTCTCAGCTTCCGATCCCTTATTGAAAGTTATCCTTTTTCAAATGCTCTGTCTACGACCACATTGTAACCTTCCAGGAACTTCCAGCAGTATCATGTAAGTCCCATAAATCCTCTCAACATCTTCAATGCCTTAGGTAGTGACCAATCCAATGTAATCGTCGTTTTAATTGGATTAGCCGACACCCCAAGTACCATTAGCATCTTCTTCAAATGATCAATGTGTTCTTCCAAGGATGATCATATATCATCTCAAATTTCTCTCTATAGTCCATGACGCACCCTGTCTGGATGCCAATGTAAATAATTGTTTGCCTAAATTCCTTCCCTTGTGGTTATGAAACATTCCAACAACCAGTCTTTGAATTTTTCTCATGTTTTGATTAACTGATGTTGTTTTCTCCATTAATACCATGCTAGAAGGGCTGTTGCCATTATTTTTTTTCTCCGTTGGTCTATTAACAACAAAATATCTATTCACATGATAAACCCAACCATAGGATCAATATCTTCTGCTTACTTATGCATGAATATTATCCCAATTTTTCTCTATCGAAGCTCATTGCACCAAAGAAGCAGTGGTTGGATTCCCTTTTTCGACCCATATTGATTCCTTTTCGTCCATAAGTCTGAGTCATCCCATAATCAGCTCACTCGTCCCTATAGGCTTTTGAATTTTCTTCCCCTCGGAAGGTTGCTGAAGCAAAATACTAGTGCGATTGGATGTGACCCATTGTCGAGGTTCCACCCACAGTGGTTCTCTCTTCTAACCTGAAATCATTCAAATGAATCTCCTTCGGCCTTTCTACATGTTTTTGCTCATCCCAAACCTTTAGATATCATGCAATCCTCTCTAAATGTTGCCACGAATTCGCTCTTGACTCATTCTCTTGATCCAACATGCTTCCATTAGTGCCAACCGTCTGAATGTTGTGACATTTCTTCCAAGTGCTGCCACTCGAGTTCACTCCCAATTTCTTTGCTTGATCTTGCTGCTCTAGATTTGTCTAAGGTAGAGACACTGCCCAAATGCTGCATAAAACCTTCATATTGTTGCCACTCGCGTCCGCTCCAGATGTCGTCGCTCGATGCTCATGATCTTCATCATTTCTTCCAAGGTCCTAAATCTCTAACCCATTGATGAGAACTGCCATTCCATGTCCGAGTAATTTTCCTCCATTTCATATATTATTTTGCTCATCTCTCCCTTTAATTTTTTCCTTCAATGCATTTACTTTCTAATCTGCCATTATTCCGAGGATAGTTTTTTATCATGAAGGCGGAACTCCTGTATTACATGATCCCATCGTTGGCTTCTCATTACCTCTAGCTACCTCGAATCGTGACTAAATCGCGACTGTATCACCATTACTCTTAGGATGTTGCTCTGATATCAATTTGATAGGAACGAGACAACTTCCACGGAGATTAGGGCAAACACATTCTCTTACTTCACCAACACAAAACACTATCCAAATATATAAAAGATAAACACCTGCAATTTAAGAGGCAGACGATCTCTCCCAAACCCTGACCCTAGATTAAAGACAACATTCACACATATAATCTTACCCTAAATTTATTAAACCCTATTTATACCTCACAATAATAACTAACAAATAACTCAATTCTCCTTTTAGTCTTACACATAACATAAATCGTTAAACTATTTTGGCAAGCTCAACGCCAACATAGTGGAGCACGAGGTGAACGACGCCATAACTGTTGGTCTAACAATCAATTATTGCAATATTATTACATTTTGTCAAAATTTTATAGATGGATGAGAACAATTCATTGATATATTCTTTGATAAATGGATGGTGATATGTGAATGATGAGTTACCATAAAGTTTGCTTGATTTGATATTATGGTGGACATTTAAATATTGATGTGAAATTTGCATTTGTTATTGTTGACGAAAGGAACCCTCCAATTCAACCATCTATGCATAAAAATGTGGAAGTAAAATTTTCTAATTTCAATAAATATTTAAAATATAACAAAATTAGTCCTCCCGTTCGGCGGCGGATAATTTTTGTCGCTATATGCGGGGTTACGTAACGGAGCAGTTACCAAACATGACGGTTTCGTAACGCGCGGGTCGCCGAAAGCTCCCGCCGTTTCGTATTTAATTCACCTTATGCGGAAATTAAAACTCTCCTTAACGTCGTCTGCCTCCCGTCCCTTCTATCTAGGAATGTAAATGAACCGAACACGAACGAATAAAGTTTGTGTTCGTGTTCGGTTCGTTTAAAATTTAGTTTGTTTGAAATAAGCTCGTGTTCGTTTCTTACCGAACGAGCCGAACACAAACCGAACACGAGTTGTTCGCGAACGACGAGCCAGTTTGACATCCCTAATATTAATATATAAAAGTAATATTATATATTAATTATATAACTTATATTATATAAATATACAATATATATTACTACTATAGTATATTAATATATTATTATTATTATTATTTTATTATATATTATAATTTATAAAATTTAATGTTTTAAAATATAATAAATTTTTTATATATAATTATTTTATATTATTTTATATTTAAAATAATAACGATTCGAACACGAACGAACGCATCACTGTTCGTGTTTGGTTCATTTAACTAACCGAACAAAAAAAATTTGTTCGCGTTTGTCTCGTTTACTTATCGAACGAATCGCACACGAAAACGAACTATTCGGTTTTTTTCTGACAGCCCTACTTCTATCTGATTCCGAATCGTAAACCCTAACCCTAAAACCTTAACGCCGCCAACATCCCATGGCCTCCTGCGATGACGACTTTCCTATCCTCGGTGACGAAGCTCAATCCCACCACCCACAGGCCCAGCAGCAGCAGATGCGAGCTTCTGCTTCCATGGCCGCCGGTGGTGCCGCCGCCAGTGTTCTTTCCTTTCCTGCTAACCGCTACCTCTCCGAAGTGACCGTGCCGATCCATTCGCGTTCTGGTCCATTCGATGGAAAGAAAATTTCTACTGGCTCTGTGGGCGATGACGAAGATCACGACGGATACGGCGAGGCATTCGCCTCGACAGATGTGAACCCACACAGTCATTGCTTTGCCGACGACGACCCCGTACCAGACCCCTTTGATCCGCTTCAGCCTCGCCAGAATGAAGGCTCCAGCGGGGATGATAGCTCTGATCACAAGTCTCGCGCTGCCGCGGCTTCGGTTTCTCACTTTAACTATCCACATCAGCGGCTGCTCGCACCTCTTGCGGAAGCCAGGCGCAGGGATCGGGACGAGCTCAGCGATGAAGAAGGTCCCTTTGGTTACAACACTGGCAACAAGAGGTCGAGGTCGTCTTCGGTGGCGCCGTCATCGTCCAGTGATTATCGGAAGGATCGGGAGGAGTGGAGCGATTCGGCCATTGGGTGTCTTCTGGATGCCTTTACTGAGAAGTATGTACTGCTTAACCGGGGAAACTTGAGGGGAAGGGATTGGGAGGACGTCGCCACTACGGTAAGTGAGGGATGCGATAAGCAGAAATCGGGTAAAACTGTGGAGCAGTGCAAGAACAAGGTTGATAACCTCAAAAAGCGTTATAAGGTTGAATGTCAGCGCCTTTGTAGTGGCAGCATTGCTGTCAGCCATTGGCTATGGTTCAAGAAGATGGAGTTGATTGTGGGTTCCTCTTCCAAAAATGCTGTGGGTGATGATAAAGCTCCTGCACTTGGAGATTCCAGTCCAGTTTCGAGACAGATGAAGAGGTCTCATTTATTTGGCATCCTACTCTTATTTTTCTGTAAATTTTTCAATATTGATGGCCTTATTATATGCCCTTTTCTCCTTTGGTACTTTATACGAGCAAAAAGTCTGTATTTGACCATAATTTTACACTTGAGTGACAAGATTAAAATGAGAAAGCAAAAAAGAAGTTTCCTCAATTAAGTGGATTTGGGCTTCTAACATGAGAAAAATTGGAGGTAAAATAATTTGAATAGGTAAATTTGTAATCGAAACTAATTTAAACCAAATGAGAGAATAAAAAAGTTTTACCATTCAGTGCAAGTCATTCCATTTTTCTTCCTACAAATTTACCTATCTCATGCCACAACATATTGCAATGGAGTACAAAAAAACTTAAATACGAATTTTTTTGATAAATTAATATAATGGCAGGGGGTGTTTAGTAGCATACTTATTATTAGATTTTGCCATGGATTTAACTTAAATCCAGCAAACACCGAAAAAATGTAAAATAAATTCAACACTCCGTTAATTTGAATTTCAACACGTTCTGTTGTTTTTGTATCGTGTTCCCTCACCTGTTCGACGTAAATCCAAATGTAGTAAGTCCGATCGCGAGTTGGATTTATCCCATTGTCCCGCGAACTCCTCCCGTCATTTGTATAATCCAGATGTATCCGATTACACAAATCCTATTAAACGTAAATCTGATCTGTAGCCAAACACCGCCTTAGTTTGAATTTATTTAATAATATTTTGTGATAAAAGGTTAGTTTTTATTCAATATTCATTAGCGCATGTGAATTTTACTGTAAATTATGCTCCAAAGGCATAGTAAAATGTCAACATACTCAAATAAAATTTATAATATATTAATGATGATGATATCTAAAAAAAGGTGGATGATGTGCATGAGAAGAGAGTACCGCATGGAGCTCCAAAGCATTTAGTATTTCATATGGAAACCAGAGATGCTGAGAGCTATTGTTTTGTCTATGGGATGGGATGCCTAAATCTTTTTTTTTTTTTTTGGAGGTGTTTGAGATGTTGTTGTTGTGATACAGACTTTTGTGTATGATATCTTATTGATGATAACAATTAGTTTATTTTTTTCTTTTCACGGTTTGATGTTGGGATTTTTAATCTAAGACCTTGAAAACAACTTTTAAGTTCTTTATCAGCTAAGCTAGTTGACACCCGCAGTGATCGTGAATTGAATGTCAATGCAATACTCATCAGGAAGAATGACTTGGAGTGATTCAATAAAGGAAAGGGTACGCTCCCAGATAAATTTTGTCCATGCTAAGCTTTTGAATTTTTATTTTAAATATATTCCTATTTCATGGTGTACATACTTGACACATAGCTGTTGGATTTGAATAGCGCTCGAGTGTTGTAAAGCCAGGTGTTTAATTTCTATGGCGTTGAATACCTTTATACATATGCGTGTGGGTGTAACTTAAGCTAAAATAGGTTAGATTGATTTGTAACCAGCCTCTAAATGCCAGTGTGTTAAATCTACAATGAAATGCCAGAATAGCTTTGAAAAAAAAAAATAGAAATTATGTGGGGGTTTCATATAAATCTATCAATCAATTAAACAACACCTCAAGTGTTGTTTCGCCTTATTTTCGATTCCTTTTTATTTGGAATGCAACAAAATATTGTTCTCTACTTTCTCCTTCTTGCAATGACATGTAGCTTCACTTTTTAGGGACTATTTCATGCTGGGAGAACAAACAGCTTACTATTTTTGAGTTTTACATTGTTGTAGAAAGTAAACAATAAGCTAAAAACAGTGAATAATAAATAAATAAATAAACACTTCAATCAGCAACAAGCAGTGGAGTGGCAGCTGCCCAGAAACAAGCAAAACAGTGGTTTTTGTTATGGTGCTAGGATTGGGACTCTGAAGGGCTTGTGGATAAATGTTTGACAGCAGAGGAAAAGGAAGTTATTTTTTGGGAGAATTCTCAGATTGATATTATTATAGTAAATTAATTTTATTCATCAGCAAATACGACGTTGATAAGATCTTTTTTTTTTCTCAAAAAACCTCAACAAAGAAGAGATAACCTTATCTAAATAGAATTATCCTAATATAAATTTAAATTCAAATACAGTTATCCAAACAATTTGAAAAATATTAAATTCATCCTTGTACTATTTGTAAGATAAAATTATTTCAAAGATTAAAGTTTCAGATCTTTTATATTGATCGATGACTTGATCATACTTGTAGACAATTGGTACCTTTTTTATTTAATCTTAATGATGTTATTGAAGAGTCATCCTTATCGATAATGCTCATTGAGCAAATAAAACTATTAATACTTAACTATTTTGATCTCATTGATATTTTTTTTGATATGATGCTCAAATTGTAGTGAGATTAAGGCTTTGTTGTTGTTGTTGTTGTTTTATGATGCTCAAATTGTAATTATGGATAATCTGATTTACTACCTACTAGAACTGATTCTCATACCATGATACAAGATAATAGATTAATTTTTATGTAGTTAATTAATGATTATGATATTAAATTAAACTAATTATATACTAATTAAGGTTATTTAGAAGAAATATATTTTTTAAGTGTTTAAGTATGCTAATTTGCGATTGAATTTTAATTATTATGTTTATTGATCTTTCTAATTAGTAGGCATTATTTTGTATCATACCATGATACAAGATAATAGATTAATTTTTATGTAGTTAATTAATGATTATGATATTAAAGTAAATTTTTTATAACTAATTAGAACAAATATATTCTAAAAGTGTTTTATACTAATTTTCCATTGAATACTAATTATTATGTTTATTGATCTTACTAATTAGTAGGTAATTAATAATAAGAATGTTCACTTATCTTAATTAGTAATAAGTGTATTTTTTTAAAATCCTTTTTATCCCAGAAGAGATGTTTATGTCAAAATTTTAATGATGTTTCTTCTTGTTCCTTTTCTTTCAACTCCCAATAATTGGATGATAATTATCCTTTTCTTATTGTAACTTGTAATTAAGGGGAAAAGAAATTGCATCTTTTCTTTGTTTTTATTTTCTTTTTTTCCTCTTGTCATGGAATGTTTTCACAAAAGGGAGTTAAACCCACATTTTTTCTGAAGCATCTTTTATTTGTATTTCTTATTTTGGTGAGGTTTGACTTTGACATTAGTTTTCGACACTGAATTAACTTGTTCATGTCATGATTTTGTGGTCAGAAAATATTTTTTTTGAGAATTAACTTACATGCCTCTCAAGTCTTATGTATTTACATCTAACATTTAAAGTTTTATATTTACATTTATAAAATATTGGTGTCAAAATCTATGTTTGATGACACTTTTTGAAGTTAGTAGTGGTATTTTTGATATGATGTCGAAGATTTGAGTGATATGTAAATATGAAAGTTTAGTGTTAGAGATGTAAATATATAAAGTTTGTGTGGTATGTACGTAAATGCCCCTACTTTTTTTTTAGGGCATTTGAGCCCTCACCATGTCACTAGAAGGCTAATGGCAATATTACCTGAGTTTTCTTGTTAGTATCATGATTTAATTTGATAGCTTCCTTAACCAATTTGTCTATCGGCAATAGGCTAGGATGGATAGGCATGCAACTTTGATGTGTAAAGATGAATCTGAGAAGTTTGCATTCAATTCAACAAAATTTTCTCATTAAATAATGAATAGTGATTTTAAGAGATGGATTTATCTTATGTCGTGATGGGTGTGTTGTTGGGGAAATATTTGCGCACGTAATACGCACCCAGAGCTGCGTGCGTAATGACACCGCAATAACCTCCACTTTGCGGTTATTAGGGGGTTATTGGGAGGTTATTGAGGTATTAATTCCAATAACCTATAACCCTAATAACCTTCCAATAACCTTCGCGAGTTCTATTTAGATGTTATTCATAGGTTATTATGGGGGCATTGCGGGGTTAATGGAGTACGCACGCAGAGTTGCGTGAGTATTATGTACGCAAATATTTTCCGTGTTGTTGAGGCTGACTGTCCTTTTTCTCTTTTTTTTTTAATCGTGTTTAGAGTCTTGAATCATACTCTTTTACAATTATAGTTAGGTACGAGTGATGTTTTGAAGTTGTTCAGCTTTTTTTGTTGAATAAAAAGCTGGTTTTGAAATGAAGATCGTAGCAACTGCTCAATTTTATTAAAGTGCCTTAGTCTAGAACAGAAATGAACCAAATGAAAGGCATTGGACATATTAGCAAAATTGATTATTTATATCATATGCCACTTTTCGTTTGGCTCATGCAACACACAGGCATGGCTCTCGGCAAACCAACATTATTGTAAATTAAAAATAATTCATTATGAGGGGCATTCATAGAACAATAATTCATGAAATAAGTGTTTCATCAAAGATGAAAAAAAAGCTATGATATATAGACTTTGCACTAATAGCCACTATGTGAGAACATCCTCATCAAGGCATTTGCTATTAAGAAAGGAAGAAGGATAGTGTACCTACCTACATGAATGTACTTCTTGTTCCACTTATTGAAAAAAAGGCAAATGAGTTAAATGACTTGAAGAAAAGTTATGCTAAATGAATATGAAAACAAGGAAGAAAAAAATACATGATATAGCCACTAAATGAAGTGCCGGTGTGCCTTTTCTCTACATAGGTTTGGCGGCTTCCCTCTTTTCTAAGGTTCTTACATCCTTTATTTTGAACTACTTTAAATTATCATTACATTCATCATAGAAGCAATTTCTTTAGTGACAACAACAACAATAACAAACCGTTATCCCACTAAATGAGGCCGGCTATATGAATCTTTTTTCTCCATTGTGTCCTATTGAGTTTCATATTTTCATTTAATTCTAATAACTTAAGTTCATTTTTCTAATATGTCTAGGTCTTTTTAGATCTACCTCTACCTTTCTTAGCATAAGTTGAATCTAAACCATCTAATCTTCTAGCCGGATAATTAGATGGGCGACGTTTAATGTGATCAAACTATCTAAGACAAATCTCTTTAATCTTGTCTGACACTGGAGCTACACCATCTCTTTAGGTGACAATGAACTTAATTTATTCTTTCATTTTGATCTAAGAATACATATTTTGCTACCTATATAGAATGTTGCATGTCAAAAAATTAGGCCAAAAGTCTTTGCTATTGACATGCTAGAATAAACTTTATTTTTAGGGGTTAGTTGGTTGCAACTATTTGGGATGTAAAATAAAAGTAAATTATGAGTTCTTATTTTTAAGTGCTTGGTATGAATTAAAGTAGTTGGTTTCAAGTATTGTGGATGTAAAATAAAAGTAATTTATGAATTCTTATTTTTAAGTGCTTGGTATGAATTAAAGTAGTTGGTTTCAAGTATTGTGGATGTAAAATAAAAGAAATTTATGAGTTCTTATTTTTAAATGCTTGGTATGAATTGAAGTAGCTGCAGTGTATTTTTTTTAGGGAAATTGGAATAGCTCAAAAGCCTCAATTCATTAGAATTCCGAATTCCTCCTAGGTTGCTTGAATTCTAAATGCATCTTGATCTCATTATATATCTCATTTACTTAAGATTCCAAGCCTTTCTTAACCGTTGTTCTTGTCTCCCCATCAACCCCAGCCTCATTCCCATTCTCGTTCTTATTGGCCATTCTCATTTTCGTTCCTGATTATGCTCTCATTCACATGTGTCATGTTCATCTCCGCCCATGACCATGCTCCCAATCTTTCGTGACGTCACGATCCCATAGGTTTGATATGCATGATTTTCAACCCTTTGTCCACCAGGTATCTCTTTCTCTTCTTTATTTATGTGGCAACACTATTTTGTAAAAATCCTGATTTCTTCTACCTGAAAGTGGATATGGTAATTTTTCTTCATTTTTATCAGGAAGCTAACAGATCATGCCCATTGTTTTCATTGATTACGGAACCTCTATATCTGTCTTCCTTAATGACCTCGTTCATCATTAAATTAATTGCTTTTCATTTTGCCAAGCATCAAAATTGATTCATTTTTCAATCCTCCTGCTGATAATATCCATTATAGGAATTATAAAGCTCTATAAACAACTCCAAGAAATTAAATGCAGAAAAGAACGCTGTTTTTTAAATATTAGTTTGTAATAGTCTTGTAATAATGAAGGAAATTGTATCATTACACATTTAAATTGCTGATTAACTTATGCGATTATTTATTTATTTTACGCTCAATCAAACAAGAAAATTTTCATGTATTTAGTTACTACCAACTAAATTTTGCCAAGATATAGAAGTTCATTGTATTATTTTGCACGGCATTCTAAAAATTCATTGATTTTAAATATCTGTAACCAAACCACCCTTAATTCCAAAGAAAACGTACATAGTCGACTAGGATTAGTGAGCCATCCGACCAGAAACGAAGGACACAAACAAGAGGGAATGAAGGGAATTCTAAAGCTGATGTGGCAAAAAATGTTTAACTTTTCTATTTACGGAAGAGTTGTAGGGAATATGGATTCATATTATGCCTAAGTTGAAGCCGTGGGACCAATGAGCTAAAAAACCCAAATCAAGGTGGTTTTTGCTTTGTTTTCCTTGTCTAATTGGATTTACTGACGTTCTAAAACTGTGATTGGTAAAATTCAATCAATATTTTGTTTTAGTTGTCAGTCCATCAAACTGTCAGACCAACTTAATCTGATTAGCACATATGTTACTTATAGAATGTGCCAAGAATGTGTATACCAATATCGTTGTCCGATGATTCATTTATTGTGATACAAATATTTCTAACTTTGCTGTCGTATGAGTTAAATTTTAAAGGCCTGTTCCGCCATGTCATTTTCTTAGGCATTTACAATGTTTAGGTTTGTGTGAAATTTGTACCCTAATTTTTTTGGACTTTGTCATTTTTATTGCATGCGTGGTGGAATCCTATAGCATATTGGTATTTTGTTTTTATTTATGAAATCATGGTTTGGTTGGCACATGGCACATGAAAGCTAGCTACAATAAGGAGTTTGAGCTACTGTTTTTTCAGATTCTGAAAGACATTTGATTTCGGTTCTTTCTACTAAATATTTATGTTAAAACAGAGAGCTGGTCATTGAGCCGTAGTTTACATTTCCTCTCGTCTATTCCCTTAATGGTGCCATATAACTTTTCTGCCATGTCATTTCTTAGGCATTTACAATGTTTAGGTCCGTGTGAAATTCGTACCTTAATTTTAATTTTGTACTAAATTGTCATTTTATTGCATCGGTGGTGGAATCCTATAGCTTGTTTGGTATTTTGTTTTTATTTATCAAATCATTGTTTGTTTGGCACATGGCACATCAAAGATAACTACAATAAAGAGAATGAGCTACTGTTTTTTCAGATTCTTAAAGAAATTTGATTTCGGTTCTTTCTACTAAATATGTTAAGACAGACAGCTGGTCATTGAGCCATAATTTACATTTCAGCTTGTCTATTCCCTTAATGGTGCCATATATAGCCTCTTGGCAATGCTATGTTATGTTTTATATATTTAAGTCAAAAAAGCAAAAAACTGACATTTTTTCTTATCATGATACCAAGCAAGAAAAGGGATTCTTTTTAGAAGTCTGAAAAATGATGAGTGTTTAAGCTGAGAGAATAGATCTCCTTCATCTAAAATAATAGTGCACCGATTTTGAGGAAGCTGATGAGATTTGTTTGAGGAGTTATATAGCTAGGCTGGTTAACAGTTAAAATAATTTTAGTCTTGGTGGAAGAAGCTTCAAAGAACTTTTGTAGAGCTAAAATGCCCAGATTAGTAGATTTTTAAGATGTAGAATCAACGGTTGGCTAATGGTAGATACCTTAGTTTGAGTGTAATAGAGCAGTGTTCTAATTTTAGAGAAAGGATTGGTTTTGAAGTTGGGCTTTCTATGGAGCAAAAGGACTACTTTGTGTTAGTTGATTAAATTTTTTGCCAGCGATGTGGAGTTAAGGTCTCTTGACTCAATTTTTTGGACAGCCTCATTGGTTGATATGTTAGTTTAGGGGTTTTTTTTTTTTTAATATTAATTTAGTTTGTTTTTTTGGATGTTTATTTTTTTTATTTCTAGAAATAAATTAATATGTTTTTGAAAACACTCAAAATAATTTTTAAGTATTTTGATTGTTTTTAAAAAGAATCATACTTTATTCAAGTAGTCAAACATATTTTGTTTTAAATGAAAACATAAACAAAATAAAAAATAAGAAACAAAAGTGAACCAAATGTCACTTTAATATCTCTATATTTTTTGTGGTAATGTTGTTACTGCCAGCAATTTTGTTTTTCTTGTTCTCAATTGATCGCATGTGTAGATATCCTGGCACTTCACCTGGTTCAGCTAGCTTAACGAGTAACATTAAGTTAAAATCACTACCAAATCCAAGATGGAAGAGAGTTGTTTTGAAAATTAGTGGTGCTGCATTGGCCGGAACCGGTTCACAGAATGTTGACCCAAAGGTTCTCTTTACTCTTTAATGTTTGTAGGTGCTATTTGTATTATTCTTATATGGTTGCTTTTGGTTTGCTTGAAATTGCCTGAGTTTAACACACATCATTTTTTTGTTAATTAGGTGATGATGCTGATTGCTAATGAGGTTGCTATGGCAAATAATGTTGGAGTTGAGGTACTCTTTAGATAAAATGGAGAAAGCAATTTGCCATAAATCTTATGGCTTCTTAATTTTTGTATTTGTGATGTTTTTTTAGGTTGCGGTGGTTGCAGGAGGTCTAAATTTTTTCTGTGGCGACTCTTTGGTGGCTGCCACTGACACAGACAGAACTACTGCATGCCAAATAGGGTATGGTTTCTCTTGTACTTTTTGGAGTAATGTGGCCATATCTCTTAACTTTCAGGTCTTGTCTACGTTTTCTTAATTTCCTTTTTCCTGTTTTTTTATTTCCATTTTTTTTTTTTTTTTTTTTTTTTCTAGACTTGGTTTTTTCATCAAGTGGTTTGGATGGAGAAAGGTATCATTTGGTAATTAGTGTGATAATCAACCATTTTTAAGTACTTAAATAAATAAATGCGGAATAGCAGCATGTTAGAAAAGTGAGAGCAGGTTTCAACAAAATTAATTCTTATGATATGTGAATAGTGCTGCTGATTGTTAGTTGAAGGCAGGTTGAAAGGCATAAGTGAAATACTGTGAAGTGTTGCAGGATAAATTTCTTTGTTTTTGGGCGTTAGGACTGCTGTGCTTTACCTGTTTGTTTATGTTGGAGTCTGGGCGAACTTCATGACTAGCATGAAGAAGTCATCACTTCACTTAGAATTGGGTTTTGTTGTGAAGCTTATCGGACTTATCTCGATGTTACCTTCTACTCTTTTTCTTGAAATTAGATTGAAGGCCGGGCCTGTTATCGTGCAGGTGGCCTAGCCTTTGAAAGGGCGGGTTTAAACTAATGCTGGATGTTTAAGCATGGTTATCACATATGCGCCAATTTATACAGCAACTTTCCCTCTCCCTGCCCCAATCAATGTGGTAAATCTGCAGAACTGTTCAACTCATTCCTCACATAATCACCATCATCACCTTTAGGAGAAGAACCTAACATTAGCAATTCCATGTCTTAGATACTCTCAAATAGAGCTCAATTTGTAGAGATGTGCATTGTTATGTGGAAAGCAAATTGAATGCATGGTAAGCTTTCATCCCGTGTATTTTATTGTCTAGAATTGAATCCTCTTAGAATATGCGGTATAAGTTTATTGATAGGCCCTAGTTTGGCTATCAGTTTGGAACTTTATGTTTTTCTTGAGAGTAGTAATTAATCACGGACCTATGTGATCTCCAAAAACTATTGAAGTAGGGCTCTCTATTTGAAATAATTAAGCTTTAGAGTGTGAAGTGTACGCAAATATTTTTGTGAAATTTCTTGAATAGAATAAAGCTGAATTCATAAACATTAAGGTGTCTTTTGGTGTTAATGGTTGGAATTTCATGAAAACCTCTAAAATTAAATGTGCTCATGTGGGAGGCACTCCCAAGATAAGTGATCTCCTACAAAGCTACACCAATGAGACGAAATGATGATGCTATTAGGCCAAAACGGATAATATCTCGATGAATGAGTTTGGGTTGTTACAAATGATAACATTGCATTTCTCCAGTTTGATCATAATGTCTGTCTAGTAGATGATTCTGGGTTAAGAGTAATATTGAGGATGTTGGTTACTTAAGTGGGAGAAATGACCCCTTAAATAGAATGAAGTTGAACTGTTAAACATTTAGGTTTTGTAACAGTTTAAATTTACTATAAACTCCAAGGGTATGTGTTTTTTCGGGAGCACTCTTAGGATGAGTGACCTCCTTGGAAGTTGTACCATTGAGACAAAATTGTGAGGCCATTAGGTCAAAGCCGACAATATTTGGACAGGTGAGAGTCTGGGCTGCTAAAATTTCTGAAAAATAAATGATTTTTTTTTCTTCTGTGATGTTTTATTTGTATTCCATGAGCATTGTCATCATTAAGAATTGATCCATTAGATCTCTCAGAAGTCCTTGAAGGTACATAACTACATAACTATGAGCGAGTTGACACTTGAAATTTTGATGTCAAGCTTAATGCATATACTCTAAAAAACTTGGCTTCGAGATTCATTCTTACGTAATATATAAACCATTACAATTAAAAAATATCTTTTCCACCATAAAGTGTCTGGTCGCCTTAGAATGTGGAGTCATATCCTTTGAGTGAGTATTTTGTCTTTGATTATGCATGCTTCGCCTTGAGCTCCTTCTGAAATATCTTAGAAGTCATTGTTAAACTGTTGCGGGTAAACATGCCTTGCCTTAAGCATAATTGTCGAAAGTGCTACCGACAGTCGAGCGTGTAAATTATTTGTTTTGTACTTCTTTCCTTTACATGATGAGTAGATTAAATTATTATAGGTATGCCATCCACTTCATATGTCAGGCTTGTTAGAGCTTTGACCACTACATTTGATGTTATTAAACTATTTTTTGGTCAATGTAACCACCTTCTCTTTTCTGAGGTAGATTAAGTTGCTAGTGCTTCACAATTTGGTGAAGTGCGGGAAGTTATTATCACATGTTGTTCTTGGTTTTTTTACCACCATAAACTTTTCAAATTAATCTGCCCCATGTCTTTCCTCTTGCATTAAAATTACTTTATTCTCCATCGCCGAGTTGCAATACATCTCAACTTTAGGAAGGATGAAGTTTAAAAGAATTTTAATTTCAAGCTCAACTAATTGACAACGAAACAATCCTCTTGATTGTTCGAAAAGCCCGTCATTCTCTTACCGGTTGTCGTCTCAACTTTTCTCCTATAGAGTCAAAGATGATTATTTTGCTTTTTCTTCGAATCAAATCTTTTCTAAGGCACTTTTATTTCTACTAGATTTTTCTTGTTGAACAAAGAGTAGATAAGGCATTAACACACATTAATAGTTCTGTTCACTTGCCTAATTGCCACCATACATAGTGCTGACACCCCTTGCTCTTGTTAATTATTATTGATTCGATCTTTAGAGATGCAATATTGTTTCACCCTTTTATAAGAGAGAAAGCCTTTGTCCCATGATAGAGAGGCCTCTAAAAATAAGATGTTGGATATGGCAAGGCACAATTTTACACATCTTCTGGTCAATGTATTCCTCAGTAATGACAAAAGTAAATGCTGCATTATCGATCAATTCTCTTCTTCAGGTCCTTTTAAATCCATTTTAGAGAAAAGGGGTGCATGCAATGAGTCTTATCAGGTTCTTCTAACTCCACGTTGATTGCGTTGACCATTTAACCATATAGATTCATAAGATAACAATTTCTCAAGCATGTTTGGGTTCAAAGTTGATTCAGAATTTTTTCCATTCAAATTTGTTATCAATAAGGGGCTGATATCAATAGCTGATTCACAAGCAACGGTCTGAAGTTGCTATCAATAAGGGGCTCATCTTCTAGTGTGTTCTTGCATGGGTGATTTCTTTAGGTTGTTGGAGCCCATACCACTACTATTAATGTTCCTCACACCCCATATGTATATTTCTTGGCTAAGCAACTTCCTGAATTACTTCCAAATAACATTTTGAAGTTTATGTTTGAGATGAGTTTTTCACTATATTTAAGGTTTTTAATGAGTTTGATATTGAAGAATAAGTCTTTTCCTTGGGAAGAATATTGCTAGAGACTATATAAGTTTTGGATTGATCCGCCGATTCATTAAGCTTTTTAGAATCAATTAAATCATCTTATGTAGGTATGCAGATTTTATTTTTCATCTTAAATGGTTGGTATCCTCCAAGAGGAGATATAAAATCTTTGTCTTCTTCGACTCCTATATGTGGTTGAAATAGGGCCCACTTTGTAAGCTAATTAGTAAGGGGTTGCTCCTTGGCTTCCCTTGGTCTTATTTTTTAGTTATTTAGAGCAAAGAGTGGTTCTCCAATTTTCTTATAGCCGCATCTTTCCAATCCCATGCGACGCTTTGAGTTAAAACTTCATATATAATATCACTGATCTTGTGTTTGAAAATTTTATAAAATAATTATGAAAATACAATTGTGATGAGAATAATCATTCTCCAAATTTGATCTTCAAAACCTATTTTGAAATATAAATGACTCGCTTATTAATTCCACAATCATATTTCTTAGACAATTCTTTATTTTGATTTTTTTCCTTTTGATCTTTAAAATATGGGCTTTCACGACTTTTAAAAATGTGAAATCAAACTTTCTTCAGAAATAACTCAATCCTAACTTAGAATGAAGTGATGAATCAGTTTAAACTGGCTCCAGATTGTTTGTCGAAGTTAAGTGCTGTTAACGATTTCTTATTTCTTAGGTGCTATGAACAATTATTATACATCTATATCTGAAAAAGTACTGCAAATCTTTTAGCTAATATTTCCGGTATTGCACCCTTCAACAGCATAATGGCATCAACCATGAATGCTATATTGCTCCAGGCATCATTAGAGAAGATCGGCATCGAAACTCGTGTCCAAACCCCATTTATGATGCAAGAAATAGCCGATCTATACATTCGGCGACGAGCCATCCGCCATCTTGAAAAAGGACGGATCGTCATATTTGGAGGGATTGGGTTTGGAACGGGAAATCCTCTCGTCACCACCGACGCGGCTGCGGCTCTGAGAGCCTCAGAGAGTACGTAGCTATTGCTTGTACAGAAGCAGGATTCTCTGCTTTCCAGGAATGGAAGCTTTTTCCCCATTCAACTCATGTAATACTGTGCCCTTCCACAGTTAACGCAGATGCTGTGCTGAAAGGCATCATTTCAGACGATGTAAATGGCTCTCATTCCAGGAATGGAAGCTCTGGATTTGAGCACATCTCTTTCAGGGATTTCGTCTCCAGAGGTTTCACATCCATGGATGTGACTGCGGTTTCGTTCTGTGAAGAAAGCAATATTTCTGGTTTAGTTCCATCAGCTTTTTTTCTTCTCTTTTTTTCAAGGAAGATTTACATGCATACCACTTAATTCCCATGTATTTACGTGTCTAACACCTAAACTTCAATTTTTACATATGTACCCCCTTATGGGTATATATGCATGAAAAGATATATTTCACCTTTTTCTTTCTCATGTGATATGAAATATTTGTGGGTCATAAATGTAGAAAGTAAAGTTTGGGTGTTAGATGTGTCAATGCAAAATTTTCAGGTGATTCTGAATTTGGGGATTTCTTTTGCAGTTGTTCTGTTTAACCTTCTGGAACCTGGCAATATTTCAAGGGCGCTCTGTGGAGACCAAGTTGGCATCCTTATTGACCAGTTGGGGATAGTTAGTTAGCTGAGCTTTTATACCGTTAACCGCAGCTGCTTTCTTCGGCTGTTTGATTTCTTTCTTTTTTGCTTTGGGCTGGTTTTATGTGGATTTGGTTCTGCAATTTGTTTTTCTTTTCTGCAGGGAGGGTAGATTAGAAAAATTTTCATTCATGTTATGCAACTGGGAAATTTGACATGAATGATCATGTTACCTGATGATATGCAGATGAATTGGAAAGAACAATTGGGATCACAATATGGTGCTCTTTATCTTCTGTAAAATATTTGAAATTTCTATAAAAAAACATTGTTGTAATTTTTCTAACTGGCTTCAGATCGACTTGTTCGAGCTCTCTCAGGTCAGAGCTTATTGATCCGTGAGCTCGAGTTTGTCGAGGTGCAGCGTGGGCATAATTTTTGCTGCGTCTTCAAATATAACCCAAGTAACCATGGTTGAATCAACATGATTTGATCGATGAATTATTTAAATTGTTACCTTTGATGGTAGAGATTTATCATAAAATTCTGAAGTTACATAATTATAACCCATTTTGGAACCATAGTGAATATGACTTGTCTAATCTTGAAAGTTTTATTTTATTTTCAAATTACACCTGGGTTATCTCTCGTATGTTGCTTCCTTCATGCTGCCTGATGACACAAAAAAAGACTTGAAATGAACAACTGAGGGAAAACCATGGTACACTTTCTGGATGCAACTTATTTATCTTCTCTGACATATTTGAAATCTCTATAAAAATATTGTTGTAATTTCATTTGTGTGCAAAACATTTTTTTATCCCCTATGCCACTGTTTTTCATTAGTAAGTATTGAATGTGGCAAGCTTGCCAGCTTGAGCGTTGTTTTGAGCTCGACTCGTTAACAAGCGCGTTAGTTAAATTTATTGAGTCGTGAGCTCAAGCTTGTTGAGGCCCGGTTCGTTGCCTTGCGAGCTAGCTCGATTAATTGAATTTTGATAAATATCGCCTGCTGAGCTTGTATTTGACAAACAAGCTGAGCTCGAGTTAGGCATAATTCGAGCTCAATTTGACTTGCGAAAACCCTGTGGCTGAGTGCTTACATTTATTTAAATTTTTTGTTGGTTTGAAATTAAAGAAATGCTCTTGAGAGACTTGAATATCTCAGTTCTTTTATTTTCAATAAATTTTTTTTATTCCAGCAAGTTAGATATCTTAAACTATATATATATATATATATATATATATAAATTAGTAAATTTACATCAAAAAATATTTTATGGAAAAATATATATATATATATATATATATAAATTAGTAAATTTAAATCAAAAAATATTTTATGGGGAACCAACACATGGTCCCCAACCGGCTTAAACCCTGTTTCTCATGCCGGTCATGTGATCTCTGACGTTTCTTGACCGTTGATGGTAACAGATTTACCTTCTTTTTTTAATTTACTTGAAAACCTTTTATATTTAACTTAATTTTCTTAGTCGATTAAAAAGTATATCGCATTTCTTTATTAACTTAAAATGTTTTCAAATTTGGAGCCACATGCAAGTTTGAAATATAATCGCAAATAATAATAATTTTTATGCAAAAAATAAATAAAAATAAAAATTAATAATCTTATCTTTCTGCACACAATTTATTGCTGCTGTCATGTTTCTCTTCCCACCACTGATTTTTATTTCCACCAAAACTCAAACAATTTATGACAAAAATAAATCCCTATTTTCTGTTCAAATAAAGGATTTATGTCTTTATTTATCAAATTCTCTTATATTATCTTAGATTGATGTTGAATTCTTTTAAGACATATGATCTCTTGTTTGTGAGCTCGTACAAATAAAGCTCATTTGTCTCGTTCTATATTTTCTTAGGATCTCTTGGTAGCGAGAAAGACTCAGAGAAGAGAGGAAGCGTCTGTCCCCTTTGAGATTTAGATCCCATCTGACCTCTCTTTTATACATGAGAAAATAAAATTCTAAATTACATTTCGTGTAGTGTTATATCTTTCCACAGTGTTTTCATGAAAGGACTGCGACTCAGGAGTCAAGTGGCGTCATAAATAGGGATAGATCTATATACCTTGATGTAATGATGATCTTTTTAGATGGCTTATTTGCTTTGGACAACTTTGATTACCTTGATAGAATGATAGCTGGGATGACAATATAGACTTAGATTGATTTGCTAGTCATAGATTATGATATCTTACTCATGGAGAAGCCTTCTCTAAATATGCATGACGGTATATTGGTTATACAATTGTGAAATTATGTTAGAAATGGAGAGAGATTTTAGATGAATTACATGAAAAATAGAGAGAATTTTAGCCATTTAAGAAAGTTATAATTTATTATTTATGGGCCCCTAAGCTTTAATTATAAATGGCACATTGTAGCTTTTAGATAAGATTGGTTTTCTGAGTCTATTAATAATATATGAGCCATTGCTGCATCATATATCTCATTTTTATAACTTTTATGCACATTTAATGTCTTTAAAAATTATAAAATTCAAATATAATCCAAAATCACCATGAATGTCCAATAACCTCAGGGCACCATCATATGAAATATCTTGATAATTAAAAAAAAAAAACTATCTGACATTCATCATACTTATCATTCATATTATTGAAATTTATAAAAAATCATAAAACTATTTTAAAATAAAATAGAAAAAATAAAAACTTTATGTGCTTAAAATCACCAAATTTGAATGTCATTGAGACATTTCGTTACTCAATAATATCACATGTTTAAAGAGAGAGTACAGAAGATATGCACAAAATAAATACAGTTTCAAATCTAATAAGTATAAATATGACTCCATTTTACACCTAAACAAACCTGAAGTAAAAGAAGTATTTCAATTTTGAGAGTCATAAAGCAATGTCATTCAATCAATGTTGATGATCATTATCATTTGCTCGTGGCTAACATCGGCGATCACAAAATGTCTATCAACTGCTATCAGTGTTTGATCATCATCGTCCGCTGTAATTCACTACCGACCGACACCGACATTCACCATCATTCAATTCTCTCCCTACAATCAATTAGCATAGAAGACTACGAGCATCCAATCTTATCATTTATCAGTTATTGATAGATATCATGACCTTTCACCAATGATTGTTTATCTTATATTTTAATTACTCTCATAGAAGATTAAGCCTAAATTTCAGTGTTTATGCTAATTAATTTTGTCAATACCTTAACCATTATGGATTTTACATACAAACCCCAAAATTCTCATATATTTACATATCTAACATTTACATGTGAAACACAACTTTTGATGCATCTTTTTCTAATACTAAATATTATAAAGATAAAAAAGCATGCAAATTTGACAATTAACTCAAATAAATAAATCTTATGGGCTTATTTTTAAATGCCAAGACTCCATTTTGAATTGTAGCAAAAAGTCAATCGGCTAATTCCGTTATAGAAAGTCAATATATTATTTCCATTAAAAGCAGACTATAGTGGTAATTTATAGGTATTAAATTTATTGCTATTTTCAGATTTTGAATCTACTATTCCCCATGGCCGCTTTATGAGGGTCATATTTGTAATTTCATTATTTTTAATTTGAGGCGGTCTTCGTCTTCCATTCTGAGAGAAAACGCCCCCTTGCTGTCAATCATGCTTGCCCTTTAATTCCTCCTCACTCTTTCTTCTGCTGGGAGCCGATTTCCCGTCATCGGCCGACATTTCCCCCTCCCCTTTCGCGGGAGTCTTCGACGGAACCCTAGTTAATTGGAAAACGATATCTGCCAGCCGGGGCATCCCGTTGGAGAGTGGTAACTCCCGCAGAGAGTGGCAATCAGCGGAATTACTTAGGTTTATGATACTCCTAATTCGAGGCATTTGATTTTTTAGTCATGCATCTTATGTAAACCATGGCGTCTCATTGTATCCGTCATTTCTGGAACCGGTGCGAATACTGCCCTAATCAATTTAATCGTTTTCAGGTGTATGCTCTCTAGGCCATCCATTGTACAAGAAGGGATTGCTTCTTTTCTTTAGCTCATTCTTATGGCCGGCCAGTGCTCTTCTCGGACACTCACATGTTTATTAGGAGTTCTGAGAGCTTCTTGCTGGAGCCATTTCGTTTTTGTTTTTGCCGGTATGGTTGGGAATGTGCGAATTCTCTGGTATTTGCTTGCCGTTTTCTTTTATTTTTTAGCATTTGGAATCTGATATCCATAGAGCCGGACGTATTTCGTTTTGTTTTTGTTTTAACAAGATCATGATGTTGACGGTAATGCCGAGCGTGGCCATGAAGGCAAGTTTTATGAGGGATTTTGATTTTCCTACATAGTTTTTTTCGTTCTTTCGAATCTTCTTCTTCTCCGAGCATTCAGTATTTTAAATCTATTGGAAGAAATGTATTTGAAATCCAAGGACGGGTTCATTTTTTCTTAAATTTACAGTGGTCATTGTCATCAGTGAATATAAGTGTAGATTTTTTATTGCTATATTATAAAAATGGCTAATTTTCTTCGTAGTTATTATATAGCATTAACGATTTAAAACCTCGGGTGCTTGCTGCTTGAAATTCAGAAACTTTTATGTTTCTTAAGATAATAAAGTAGAAAATGTCAAAAGGAAGTGGCTTGTATTTGTATGTTCCAGAATTGGAATAAATTTAACAATCATGCATCATATGTTCTGGTTTGCAACGTGTTTATGGAAAGCAAAGATGGAATAGAAAATATGCATATGGAAAACATTAAACGTGTACAGCATTCCTATACTGATGTTAGCAAATTAAGAATAAGGGGAAAATTTTCTATATATAGAAAATTTTTACATGGACAATCCAATGTAATTCAAACCTAGATAAATTCTAATAAGTTGATAAAATCTATGCCTTTCACTCTTTTATTTTTTTTTTCATTTATTTATTTCAAGGTAAAATTAACAGTACATTATCTAATTTTTATCAATATATCGTCAAATAACTTTTTTGTTAATAGTCAGATTTGATTTGCACTCAATTTGAGTGTTGAGGTAAGAGGTGAGGGGGATATAGATGGAGAGAAAATATGCAATTATTTTTCTTTTAGTCGGTGTTTTGAGAGAGGAATGAAAATTAGTCTTCTCATTTTTAACTGAGTCGAAGCGTTGTGATTAATATCTCATGTATACCGTTTTTGGATTAAGTGCTTCAAATAATATAGCTAATTTTTAATATTGATAAGATAACAGTCTATTTTATGTTCTTTGCTAATTATTTAAATTAACTGACACTTTAATTGATATTCATTGTCTAATTATCTTATCTAAATTGTTCTATAGTAAGCTTTATTAAATCTTAATTAGTTTATATTTAGCTAAAATTAAATAAAAAAATGAATTAAAAACTTATTATTGTTACTGGCTAATTAAGAAACTAATTGCATCTGAGTTAGTTTTTTTAAAAATTAGTTAATCCTCAAGAAGAATGAATAGTAAGCTAGGATTGAGGAATTAACTTATGTTCTTTCATCAAAGCAAGGGTAGTTCAGCTATTACAAGACATTTACTCTCACTAATCTATTTCTCTCTGATTTATGCTTATTTTGGGAGAGGAATCAGCTCCTCTTTATTGAACTTTCCTCTCTTTTATTCTCTTTTCTTCTTATCTCAAGCTCCTAATCAAGAGAAAGCAACAAATTTCCTTGCAAATCTCTTCTCCTCTCCAAATTTGGACGAACAATTACAGTATAAACTAAATAAAAGATAGCTTTATTGCAGAAAGTAAAAAACGTAAAATGAATTGAAAGCTAGAAATAAGCCAAAAACACTACATTAGTCTATGAAAGGTTAGAATAATCTCTAGATGTTTTTAAAGCATGTCTTGTACTCTTTAGTCTGTATTTTTAATGTTCCATAGTTTGTTTGTCCTTCTCTATCCATAATATATTTTATCAATCTCTTTAACTAGTTCATTTTTCAGTTGGAGGTGGTCCGGAAGGCATTATCCATTGAAGATTTATTTTGTTTTTCATCACCCTTCAAGCTTAACATTGTGTCATCATGAAGAAACAAGCTGCAGCAATTCCTAGTTATGGGAAGACCACAGGTCCTGTAACACGAGCTAAAGCTGGCACATTAGCTTCTCATGGCAGGATAGCGCTGGCCAGACCACCGCTAAAATCAGATAAAAAGGAAAGATTGATTGGAAGAAGAAAGAGGGTGGAATCAGATGAGAACAGTTGTGCTATGCCTTGTGTTTCAGTTTCACAGAACAACAAAAGAGAAGTGCTTAAGGATATCTCAGATTTATGCTGTGGGAATTCTCGCAGAAATTGCTTAAATGCGGCAAAAATGCAGGTAACCCATGGTTCCACTTTGTTTTTATACTGGTATAACTTCAAATTGAGTATTTTTTATATAATCATGGATTTATCATGCAAAAGTTTTATCGTTTTATTTCCCTCTTATCTGCTTAAATGTGGATTTTGGTCTTTTTTAATTTTTCTGTTCAGATCAAGGCTTGCACACAGCAAGCCATCTCAGGACAATCTAAAGCTAGAACAATGTCTAACTACAAATGGCTAAAAAATTCCCCTGACGCTTCTGCCAGTAGCATGCTATCTCTTGATGATGTTAACAATGGAAAAGAAGAACTGCAGAATGTGAAGATTTTTGAACGAAAAGATAGCACCGGTTCAATTTGCACGAATGGCAGTCTGTTCCCCGAGACCTCATTTCCTGCAGTAATGGTGGAGGGAAATAGATTAGGAGAAAGCCGCAAGAAAGATAACGGTTAGCACTCTTTGGGTGTCTAGTAGATGTGCTAATTTTAGTGGTTACATGATTAACCTGAACACGGCTTTCTTGATTTTAGTTTTAATTTGATAGTTTATTAGTTAATTGAAGCGTCTTATAAGTCATTGCAACATTGATGTGTTAGTCTACATGATTGGCCTGAACATTATAGTAATGATTGATTTTCATTTCAATTTGTTTTTTTATCTTTATTAATACTTATAAAAGCCTAATGTGCACGTGCCATACTCGCTTTTTGGTTTATTTCACAGTGGTTCTTCTCACATTAATAATTCTTTGAAATTCTGAATGTAGTTAAAGGCACTCTTTCTGATGATCCAGACAGCTTAAGTTGCTCGGGAGTTCAAAATATTGATTCTGACAATTCAAACCCTCAAATGTGCAGCCTCTATGCCAATGCTATTCATTATAATCTTCGTACCGCTGAGGTGATATATATTTCTTCTTTACTTTGAAATGACAAAATGAATTTGTTACTATCATTTGATCCTTTTTGTCCAAAGTGTAGGCCTTTTAGAAACAAATTATGGCCTTTTTTATCGAGTTAATTTTGATTGTTAAATTCTATTACAATTGCATGTTTTTTGTTCAGCCCAACTCGTGATTCACTATATGAGTTTTTTTCCCCCTCAGCTTATCCAGAGACCTTCATCAAATTTCTTGGAAACTGTGCAGCGAGATATCACTCAGAGAATGAGAGGCATCTTAATTGACTGGCTGGTTGAGGTATTTTGTAGTTTGTTTAATGAGGTCTATATTTTTTTCAAAGCTTGTATAGTGTACAATGAGTTTGCATACCTTTATTGCATTTTTAACATGCTAGCATTGCATGTTTAACATGCTAACGCTTTAATTTCCACCTAGAGATGTTAACTAAATCTAAATTTGTTTTGAACATTGGGCTTAAGTAAGCTTACGTTAACACTGAATTTTTATAATTCAGCTGAAACAAGCCCACATCAACAAGAGAGGAGAACGGATCCAATTGCTATTAAAAAAATCACAATCACTATGCATAACTAAAGAACATTTACTAACCCTTATCAAGATAATTTATAAAACTTAACTTTGAACAAAGAAGGGCATTAAACAAATGTTAGAAAATTACCTACTTCAAAAGTTTCTGAGAAAAGTATGAACATTTCTTTAAGATGTTTGTTCAAACTCCTGAAAATGAACTTGTTATTATTTATATCTCCTCTCCTCTCTTTCTTCTAAATTTCTTTTTAAATCCTTACAAAACACCCAACATTGCCTCATGCTTCTGTATCAATTAAGCTTTCATGCATCAACTTATATAGCTACCAACTCAATGCAAAATCACCTTACTCGTTTTCAAGCTTTTACACAATAAACTTGATACTTAGATCATCATGTAATTCATGCATAAATACTAAGACGATGCTGAACAAATTCCCTGATCCATTTTATTTTCAAGATTTTATGAAAAAATCTTCGAACATTACATGTCATATTTTTCATGCAAGGCATTGAGTCGATACCTAACAAATCTCTCCATTGACTTAATATTATAGCAAAAGCCATATCTACTTTGTGACTCATCATCCCTTTGCCTTGAATGGTTCAATGTTACGATTTGGTACTGGAAATGACTGCAACACTTGATTGATCTTCTTGTCTCTTAAGGTCTTCTCCTTCATTTATGCCTTTATTTGCTTTTTAGCACTTTTTGTAGTTTGGAAGCTGTCTTTCCTCTTCTCCAAATCGTGTTCCTGCGCAAAGTTATCGAATATAAGACATCAACGCTCAATGTTGCACTTTGCATCATATAAAGTCTACTAGCTTATTTTCCTACAGGACAACCAAAGCAACCTTATAAATCATAAGGGTACTACCATCACTAGAAAACTTACGTTTTGCAATGAGAGCACTTAAGAATATTAGTTTTTTTTTTTTTTTTTAATTTGGTAGATATGTCACTCTAGGTAGTGATATATTCACACTATCATGTGCCTTTCAGTGTTAGAACCTCTACTTTTGCACCCAAATTTGCTTTCTATCTAAACGGAACTTCTAGAACTTGACTCGTATAATGAAAACTTCTCCAAAATAAAGTGATTATGAGCTTAACAAATTGAGTGCATAATCCATCGCTCCTTGCATGTATCTCCATTAATCACCAAAAAACCATCCCCGATGTCCAAACCAAAACAATGTGTAACTACACTTGCAACTTTTAACTGTCATTTCTAGTTGTAATTTGCACATTGCTCTCTTCAGAGTTCAGAGTATGGCAACTTTTTTTTTTTTTTTATGTTACCTTTCATCTTTTAATACCCATGCTTATGGGATCTCCACCTAGTAATAAACCTTTAGCTAGTTAATCATCACTATAGTGTTTAGCAATCACTTCCTTTTAAAGAAGTGAGTTCTTGAAACCTTCAAAGCTTATTGTATCACATTCACAGATCATGATGTTCCCAAAGTGCTTATAAGGAGGTAAAGTGCATAACACAACAAAGCTTGAACTTCATCATTAACAAAATCAGTATTCCTCAAATCTTAAATGATGAATTTAAATTGATTTAGATGGATTTAATGGGTATATCACTCTACATGCAAAGCAAGTAGGGTTTTTACATTTAATTGTGTGTTGTAAATTTTATTAGCCATATATAATAACTTCAACTTGAACCGCATTTTATTATAGTTGTTTTCTTGATGTATTAAACCACCTCATATGTTAGTTCTCCATAACTTAGAACTCTTTGAGCCATCAAATTTATTTAATCTTGAACTTCATGATCATCATATTCTTTAAAAGACTTTGTTTCAATTTTTGTTGTTAAGAAAATAGTATAACTTCATGCTAGGGAAGTGTTAGTCCAGTTGCAAGCTTGACGAACCACAAACTAACTACAAAAAAGGTCCAACAAAATGGAAGAATACCAAATTTTTTTCTACATGATAAGAGAGAAGATTCAATTTACTAGAAAAGTAGTACAATAGAAGAACATTCAACGGTTCTTCCCAAAATCCAAGTGCACTTTTGTTTAGCAATAGAAGAGTTTCACGATGATTGTTGGTTAATAAAATACTTGGAAATTATATATATCAAAAGCTTCTCAAAATGATACAAAAAAGTTCGTTGAGATAACGCTTTCAACTCTTGAAAATTAATTTCTTATGATTGCCGTCTTTTTATTTCTCTTCTTCCCATCTTTCTTTTCTTCTCAATTCCATCATAAAAACTCAAGATTATCTCATACTTTTATGCCAATTAAACTGCCATGCGTGAACATATATAGCCACCTACCAATTGCAAAATTACCTCAATTCCTACAAAATCATCGACCTTTTATGAAGCTTTCACACAAAGAACTTGTTACATACCGCATCACGTATCACACACATGAATATTCAATCAATGTTGAACAAATTTCCTAACCCATTTTCAAGTTTCACTCAAGAAGCTTCGAACTTACCTCACCGTATGATTTAAGTCGATACCTAAGAGTGTGTTTTGTAATGATCAAAAGCGCCATTTTTTAACTAGAGAAATCAGTTCTCTATTTTTTGTGTGACAATTCTTGTTATAAGGGGTCTACTAGTCATTATCATAATTAAAATGTACGATTCATGGTTGTAACCTAGTTTGTTTTTTCCTTTATGTGGAGACATTGCTTATAGTTTATGTTTTGTTTTCAGGTTGCTGAGGAATATAGGCTTGTTCCTGATACACTTTATCTGACTGTTTATCTCATTGATTGCTTTCTTTCTCAAAACTATATTGAAAGGCAAAGGTTGCAGCTTCTTGGTGTAACATGCATGTTGATTTCATCGTAAGTTTCCTTGTATGGCTTAATTTACTCTTTTATATTATGCTTTCCAAAGATTTTGATTGTTCATGCCTCGTAGTTGACTTATTTTGTCTGAAGCTATATAAAATTCACTTACGTCCTCATTTTTCTATTAGCTTTAGCTTTAAAATAATTTAAAAAAAAAAACTACTTAGAACTTCATGGACTCATTCCTTTGGATTGAGAAGCTATAATTTAAGGTTTAATTAACATCTAGGTTTTAGTCGATACCTTTGGGCTTATTCGGATTCTTGCAATATTGTAAATTTGAATTATGAATTTGTTTTCTTCATTTTTGCTCTGTCACTTTATTGTAGACTGAGACTTTGATGGCAGTTTCTTTTACCTTGTATTTTTCTTATGTAGAAAATATGAAGAAATTTGTGCTCCTCGTGTTGAAGAATTTTGCTTTATCACAGATAACACTTACACCAAAGAAGATGTACGTTTATCCTGTTTCCTCTTGGAATGATATTGCAATCTGACTACGAAAAATTTTTATGGCATAAACCAAACAGAAAAAGAGAAAATTCAATGTACCATAATCCTTGGTTGCCCTTTTCACTTGTAGGTTCTTGAAATGGAGATTCAAGTACTCGACTACTTGGGATTTAGGCTGTCTTTTCCTACAATAAAAACATTTTTAAGGTTTGTGTAACCTAGTGTATGCTAGATTTATGATGGTTCATATTTAATATCATAATACTATTTCACTTACAGGAGATTCCTCAGAGCTGCGCAATCAACTTGCAAGGTAGGTTTATATATTAATGTCATAATTACATATATGTTTCGTACATTTTTCACATGGATATGTACATTAGATATTATTGATATATCATATACAGTGATGCTTGAATACCTAAGGTTGTTTCAATATATTTGGTTGGCAATGGCAAAGCTCAGTCTATTTTACAAGAATTTTTTGCCTATGATTGTTCATAATGAATTTCATGGTGCGTGTGTGCATATAAGAGTTATATTCAATTGAGAAAATGATTTATAAAGAAATTTAATATTGTCGTCTGTCTCCCTCAATAGCTCGTTCTAACTCGTGCTTGGCCTCTGCCATCCTCTTCAATTCTATCCAAGAACCTTTTTTACCAATCCAATCTCTTAAAATCTTATTAGTTGAAAAAAGTTCAACCCTTCTTATTGCACGGGTTGTTTGGAATCACTTTTATTTTCTATTTCTTATTTTAATATTTTATTTTATTTTGTTTATGTTTTGATTTAAAATAAAATATGTTTGGTGATAATATTTATTTTTAAAAATGCTAAATATTTATTAAAGTTGTTTTAAGTATTTTTAAAAATAATTTAGTTTATATTTGAAAATAAAAAATAAAAATATACAAACGGTACATTTGATAGACTTATTTTAAAAACATAAGTAAAAAAAAATGATTTGAAGCATACCTTAAATTTTTTAACAAAATCCTTCCTATCACTGACACTTGTTTTCTCTTTTTTGGGTCTCCCATTCTATCCTCTGCACAACAACATCTTTATACTTAGCTTTTGAAGGAGATAAACTCACTCAAAATTTGTCAATGGCTTCACACAAATGTGTTTAATGTAGCTTATGAAGGATAATAGCAATTTCATTAGGATATTTTGTTTCTTTACGTGATTAATTTAATTATTATTATTGTTATTGTCATATTGAAATTTAAGTATTGGTTGTAATATTTTGGACATATAAGTTACGTTAGTAATAATTAGTAGTAATTATTGTTCATCAACAATTGGTTAACCCTCTCAATGCCAAAAGTGCACCAACCCATGATTGTATTCATGATCATTTGTATAAAAATAATATTAAATGCACTTATGTAGTAATTTATCCATGTGCAAACATCTTGGGTATGATAATACATTGGCTAAGGATGACTTTTTAGTCGTTTATCTTTTCCTCTTTATATTTGCATATATGTAGTTGGTTTTTCTAGAATGCCCACCCCAAGTGGCAAAAATATGCACCAACCCATCAAAATTCATTGATTTCTAAAAGACTTATCATTATATGGATCGTATGCTCTGTAAGTCCCTATTTAAAATGTCCTAGCGACCTACACATCTATTGTGAGTAGGCATAGGCATTTTATATTTATAACAAAAGTATTTAATAGGTATTTAATAATTGATAGGATTAGCCAATATTTAACAAGTTTTAAGTCAAGGCAAGGTCAATGTTTAACAAAAAAATGTGCAATTTAGTCAAGTTAGTTACTTTGAAACTCTGTAGATTAATTATTACTTTTATGAAATAAATCTCTAGAGATAAAAAAATTAATCCTAAAATTTATCATTAAAGTCTACTAAATCAACATCTAAATTTAATAATAATAATAATAATAATAATAAATAAATAAATAAATAAATAAAATATTTAAAATACTTGCGGAAAATGCAAATGAGTGAAGGTTTGAGCGATAAAGAACAAAACTTGAAGAGTTGAAGAGCAGAAGAGATGAACAATTCACAGAGGCTGCGAAGGTTCTCTATCGAGGATGAAGATGGAGGTTAGAGAGAGAGAGAGGATAATTGATTGTGGGAGAATAAAATTATTTAGGTCTTGTATTTCTTGATTGAAGAGGCGAGAATGACTAGTGGCTACGACTCCTTCAGTTGAATTTCAAGTTGGCATCAACGCGAGATTCTCGTAGCGTTATTTGCGGATAATTGTAGTTCCGTGATTTGCATGAAGGATGAGGCTTTTCAAACCGTAAGGGTTGGGGTTTAGGTAAAATTAATGCTTATTCAATTTAGGCTATTATGCTTGGGTTGCTAAATTCAGTGGTTGGAGGCTTGATGGTTTACAACCAATTTTAATCTCTTTGGCAAGTGTTAAATTTTTGTTATCACATGTTTTACTCCTATAGTTCATGTGCATCTTACAACTTGTCTTAGTCTTCTCTATTTGATGACAGATCCGACTGCGTTTTGTAGACGCAAGTTATTGCCTCAATTTTTTATGACTAGCACAATAGTTGTACACCAGAGCAATTTGGATATTCCTATAGCATATAATTTATTATGCGCCACATAGCTAGTAATAATACAATAATTCATATTAACGATAGAAAAAAAAAAAAATTGTATAATTCAGTAATAATACAATAATAGCACAATGGTGTAACATGCATGTTGATATAATTCATATTAATAATATATTGTATAATTCAGTAATAATACAATAATTCATACAACATAAATAGAGAAAGAAAAAAAAGAATTTTAAGCTATACAATCTCTACTAGCCTTCTAATAATCAACTTATGGCTCTGTACTTGAATCAATTTCTACAAATTCATTTCTCTAATGACACATTTTCTTAGTCACAACGCAACCCAATGAGGCCCTAGCACATAGTGAAGCATATTCGTATCGATCATAGAGTATTGTTATTTCTGATTAGACATAAACCATTGGAGTCATTGCCAATATATACCATTCTTATCAAACATGTAGGACATATTTGAAGGAATATACATAACTATCAAATTATATAAAAACTAAAACAGAGCCATTAATTTTGAATCAGAGAATAACATAAATTAAAACAATTTGACATAATTGTATTATACAATTGATTTGTTTATACAAAGAGAATTATATATAATAATTATGACTTATAATAAAATACCTCACAGAACATAACTCAAAATAAGTCATATTGTTGGATCCCAGATTGTCTTTTGTGAACAAACTTTGAGTGTTATAGCTAAGTAAAGGAGAGAAAAAAAAGTAGAATGGGTTAAGAATTTACTGTCGAGAGTACTGGGGGAGAGAGTCCCATTCTTATGTTTGTCTCCTATTTAAATGAGCATATTTTGTACAATTATATGAAGGAGGGAAGGGCTATGAAAACTGTTCTTAATATGATTAATGCTCTAGTTATCGACAACCTGATTGTCCCCTTGGCTGATGTGCTCGATGCGGAAGCTCTTGAATCTTCCGATTTTCTTTTTTGTCTTAGCAAGGTATCTAGTCAACATCTTGTCTCTGGATTCAAATTCTCTGTTAACCTGATTCATGACTAGCAAGGAGTTAAACCTTACTAGGATGTCCCAGGCACTTATCTCGTAGGTTAGGTGGAGCCCGACGATTAGTGCTTCGTACTCTGTCTGAATGTTTGTGACTTCAAACTCCACCAAGATCGTCTGGTAGAGATGCTCTTTGTCTGGGCTGCATAGGACCGGCCCCAGACTTGTTGTTGCCTGTTTGGAGGCTCCATCGACGTATAATATCCACGTTCTGTCTTCAGTGAAGATTTCCTCTCCTGGCTTCTCTGTCATGGAAAAGTCAGCCAGAAAGTTTGCGATTGCTTGGGCTTTGACTATTGTCTGTGGAATTGGTGATGTTGAATTCGCTGAGTTTACCGCCCACTTTTGTTGTTGACCGAGGTGCTCCAACTAAATGAGTACAAATTTCGATAGATGGTCTGTGATTAGCCGGTTCAGATGCATTTGGAAGTATAGTAAGCCCTCGAGCGGAAATATCAAAGCGAAGGTTAATCTTTCCATAATCGAATACCTAGTTTCGGCGACATGAAACACTCAACTCATGTAGAAGACTGGGCATTGCTTTCTCGCCTCCTCTCGGACCAGAACTGAGCTTACAGCCTCTCGTGCGACTTCGAGGTACAGTGACATCTCCTTCGCTAGCTTCGGGGCTCTGGATTGGTGGTGGGGATACTAAGGAATCTTTCAAGTTTTTGAATGCCTCCTCACATTCGGTCTTCCATTCGAAGCGTTGATTTTTCTTTAGTGTCTTAAAGAACACCACACACTTGTCGCCTGACTTTGGGATGAATTGATTTTCCCGGCTATTCGACCTGTTAATTTAGCAGGGGGTAGGTGTCCTTTGGGCAAGCGGCATTGAGGTTGATGAAGTTGACGCACATCCGCCACTTGTCTTTGGCTTTCTAGACCATGACGACGTTCGAGAGCCAAATTGAGTACTGGACTTCACGGATGTTGTCGACGTCCAGCAGCTTCTGCACGTTGTCGCTATCGGTTCGACCAAAGTTGTGGCAATCGGCTAGATCTTCTGTTGGACCGATCGAGAGTAGGGACCGATGTTTAGCTGGTGGCACGTTGCGTCAAACACTTCCTGGTGCTTCAAAAGCCTCTATATTAGCTGGCTTTTGGATCATGCGTCAAAGCGTTCACTAAATAGGAAAACCTTACCGGGTTCTTTGTTGGGCATATGTACTATAGATCTGGATGTCGAGTGGTTCATGGTCGACGTTCAAGACCGCTCACAAATTGCAGCTTCTAGGCTGTTTCAAGTTCCCCCATACCGTAATCACTTCCCCGTCTCCTGGGAACTTTACTGCCACATGGTAGGTAGGAGTCATGGCTTGGTATATGTTCAGGAGTGGCCGACCGAAGATAGTTTTGTAGGTCGGTGGAGACTCTACCACGAGGAAATTTTTCGTGCTATCATATTGTTTCCCTTGTTCTCCCCAAAAGATGACGGCGACTACAAGGCCCAATGCCTCTTTTCTTTTAGGTCGATCTTATCGAACACTGTTTTGAATATGATATTCATTGAACTTCCTATATCATATGGTAGTTGTTGATTAGTGTTGTAACGACGATCGCCTCATTGTTGGGGTTCCCCATCGATGGGAGATCTACATCTGTAAAGATAATTGGTAAGTGGTTACGTGTATACGGGACGACGGAGCATACCTCTCCCGAATGTTTTCTTTTCAAGCTAGAGGGTTGGGGTCCTCCCTCGAAGATGACAGGTATTATCCTTGGTACCTGAACCTTATTCACCTTGACAGGTCCGTTGGAAGGATCTCTTGTTGGCGCTTTGCCCTGTCGTTGTGTGTGCGCGTCGACTGCAACATACTCTTTGAGCTTCCCAACGCAGAAGAGTTATTCAATCAGGTTTCGGAGGTGACGACACTCCTCGGCGTTGTGACCGTTGTCTTGATGGTACTGACATTTCTTTTTCATATTTCGTAAGGCCGGGGCCGCTGAAAGCGGCAATACCGGTTTGAATTAGTCATTATTTTGGAAGGCCTGAATTATTTTGGCAATCAACACATTGAGGGGTATCAAACCTTACATTTCCCTGTAAACATGCGGATGCTCCTAATATTGAGCCGACAGTTGATCAGAGTATTGCTTTCAGTCATTTCTTTGTTATTCTTGGGTCTGAGAGTTTTTGTTTTGGTGACCGGTGGAGGATTGATTGTCCTTTCCCCTTTGCGATTCGCCTGGTTCTTTTCGCTTTTTTGACGAGTGGTCAAACGATTCTGGCTTACCCTTTGGGGAGCTTTGGAGGTCTTCCTCTGAGAGTATGTGCACATTCGCCATCTTAAATACTTCTGCAAAAGTAGTAGGTTTAAATAGATTTAGGTCATACCATAAACGTTTGCTTCGAACTTCTCACTTCAAGGCTATTTCGGCTATTTCATGCTTTAGATTTTTAACTTTCAGCATCTGGTTCTGGAAGCGGGCGATGTAGGCCCGTAGAGTCTCGCTCTCTCCCTGTTTGATGTCAAGCAAGGTGTTCGAGTTTTTCCTCTGTTTCTGCACGTATGAGAAGTGCAAAATGAAGAGTCTTTTTAAATTAGTTGTAATTTGGGATGATTTCAGTAGGCAGACCATTAAACCATCGAAGGGTCGATTCCTTCAAAATGATTAAGAAGAGACGACATATTATGGGGTCATCGATCGATTAACAACTCGAATGACGCTACGTGGTTGATCGGGTCATGCCTCCCTTTGTAGGAATTCAAGCGAGGGATCCTTAGCTTGGGCGGTGGCATCGCCTCTTTTACTTGGCGAGTAAAAGCCCCTCCTGCCAGTGGCCGGACAGGCACTCG